CTTGCAGTTTTCTACACGCCATCAATCGGTCCAGCAGGGATTTTATGATGGCATTGAACTGCAGAGCGGTCCTCCGGAGGTCACCGCATGCCATAACCTCTTAAGTCAGTATACAAAGCGAAATTAGCCTTTTAAATTAACCTCGGGAATAACCGCTTACTTACAAATTTTAAGTAGGGTGATTTCCAAAATCTTCCCACTTTTGTACTTCGTTAACCTTTTTTCTAGTTGGTATTGGTGGTTCCACTCGAAAGTGCACCTCAATGACCTCGCCTGAGGTTAGGGCACACTCCCCCTACATACACGCGTTCGCTGTTGGTCGGGCGGGGGATAGGCGATGATATTAAAGCGTATTTCAGTGTCATCTCACAAGGTTTGAGTACGCGACCCAACGTGTCCTCGTAACTTTTTTTATTTTACGGAAAATTTTGCGATATAATTTGTTCCCTGACATGCCCCACCCGGCTCGCCCCTAAAATCAGGTTCCCGTGAGCCTGAGGGGCGCGCCTCACACGTTCTCCAGGCGGCCCCACAAGGAATCCCTACCGATTTTTCTTCAATAATATTCACGTTGGCCTTTATGTACGGTTCTTCTGTTAAGCCGTAAAGTAACCGGCTACACAGAATTGCAAATATGACCAGCAAGAATGCATCAGAGGGGGTTTAATTTTTCGAAATAAGAGAATAAGTGACCGACACTCAAATAAGCGTTTCGGTTGCTAATTGGACGAGATACACTATGAATTACACAAGGCGAGCCCTATTGTATTCCGAAAACAAATCGAGGAACAACATTTTTTACTGAGGTAAATTACGAGAAGACGAAGCCATACAGTTAAAGACGGTCATCCTGCCTTATAAATTATAAAAAAACGTAAGAATACCGGAAGTTCCACCGCGTATTTGAACAATCGCTAATTCAATAAGAAATGCAAACGAAACGAAAATTAAAGATACGTACTGCGTTTCAGGTTTCTCGATGAGCGAAAGAAGGCTGTCTAATTCTAGTTTGGCATTCTGATCCCTGTTCATTTGATATAAAGCAATCTGTCAAGATAAAAAAGGAGAGCTCGTGAGGTTAGGGAATACGGTTGATATAACCGAAGAGTAGTGCAGTTTGGAGAAAATATCAAACCTAAGCGTATTTCGGCTCGATTAAACTTGAAACTTCGGACGTGGCGCGTCCTCAAAACAACCAATTAGGCTGCCAGCATATCGATTTCCTTTATCAGCCAATGAAGCTAGAGCAGCGTTAACTAACTACCGCCCACATCTGCCACGCTCTATGGTCAGGCTAGCTCCATGGACAGAGGCGTCGGATGGATAATAAAATAAGGTAAACAACGAAAAATTGACAACTAATTCCACCTTCCCGATATCAATGAAGTACGAGTTGTAATTCGAATATCAAATCAGGCCATAAATGAGTTTGGGAATCGTGACATGTACTCGAGCACAGGAAATGTGCGTGTGGTTAATCGAGTTCTTTAGAAGCCTTTTCTTAATTGAGATAGATCCGACATACGTTCAATTATCGGAAAACACAAAGGGGATCTGGAATTTCGAACGGCAGGTGAACGTAGGGAGTTAAATGGTAAAACGGAGGTAAGAAACGCACCTGCATCATATAGGGCAGAAGGTTGAGGTTGCTCTCGCGAGCTCCACCTCCAGTTTCGCCATGGAACGAGCGGCCGTGCGCGAATCGGAGAAGCAACAGTTTGATGTCCTGTAGAGCCAGCCTCGTGTTCAGCGTGAAGGAGACAATGGACTAGTGCGCAACCAAAACAAGAGCATGTTAGTTATTACAAGAGAGTGAGGGCAAAGAAGTGCTCGTATAGCACTCGGATCGACTCCTCGGCATACAGGCGAGAGCATGTAATTCGAAAATACTCATTCACGGCGCAGTCATTCTTCGAATGCTAGGTTCTCTGTGGACTTCCCCATATTATGCGGCTGCCACGCGTAATAGTGACTTATGCCTGGTTTCAGAGAACGGCAGTTTATTTACTCGTTTTGGCAAGCGAGGGTGGACGGTTTCTACATCGCAGGAACTCTCTTGAAAGCCCTTCACTATCCCAAAGAAACGAGTAACCTATAGTTGTTCTCTGATTTGAGCAGTACAAAGGCAGTGAGATGGAAATTGAAGCATGCGTAGCGTTCATTGATGTCCCATAAGCGATAACGTCCACCACTTGCCCAAAGACTGGGCGCGCAAGACCCGCACTACATCTACCGTTTTCGTACTTCACTTGCCTGTCTCCAATTACAAGACTATGACGAGAGGAGTGGAGCCGGGCGCGGTGGCTAGACAGGTCACACACACGACCTGATCTCCAGTGTAGATCAAAATCGTTCTCCCCCTTTCCCCATATAAAATTTGACTGTCCTGGCCTGCCTCCCTGCCTAGCAGCCAGTGGTGAGACTAGCTGACGCGGCCTGACGGCCTGTGCCTAACACGTGCCAACAAACATCTCCTGTGGGCTCTGCGCAACCAGGTATACGCGCGCCGTGAGCCAATTCAATCCCTAGTATGGTCTAGTGTACCTCCTGTACTATATCCTCTTACACTAACCCCCACCCTGCCACACTGACAAGGCAAAGATCGGAGATGCGTACCGACTAATAGTGAGAAAGACGAAGGCAACCCTCCAGTTGGCAGTCTCCCAAGTCAGGACTGATGGCGCGTCAGATTATAGCGAGAGGATGGGTTCCTGCCTCTATCTCTCCCTCCCCATACACCAGTCACCTGTTGGAGCCTCTCAATATATTAGCGATAGGGCCGGGCCCCATGGCTGGCGCAGCTTTAAGGCCTATGTCTAAGGCATGCCGCCAGACGACAGTATTTTTTAACTACTTGCGAACTCAGCATAACCCAATAAACACCCGTCACATGCTAATCTAATCCTACTTTTGGTTCGGCACATCTGAAACAGCTGGTTGAGATAAAAAATCATAGTGAAGAGTGTAAAACAAAGGGAAAAGTTAAAAACAGGACTTTAGAAGTGGACAAAGACAGCCCCACAAGAAGCAACGGCCAACATGAACCACGCAGGGGGACACTTGAGGTCAGAACGCGGCTGAATGACGATCCCTCAGCCTGGCTGCTAAACTGGCAGTCTGGATTAAGAAGAAACATACGAGAACGCCTCGAAAGAATATTACTAGTAGGAAAAAAGGGAACAGTTAGGACCCAGGGCAATGACGACGCCAGAAACAGTACAAGACGGCCGCTAATAGGTAGAGGACAAGATTTGACCGTTTTTGTGAGGTCAGAATGACAGGTTTTGGGACACCTACCGTGATACTAGAGGAGAACTTGGCCATGTATGTGGCGAAGGTGGAATCAAGGGTTTTCCTCATGTCGGCCAGAGCCTTTGGCGATTTGGTTACAGAAACTGCCTTTTCTGGGGCGGAGTCGGGAGCTGCCGCCGGCGTGGTAAGGGGGCTGGCCAGCGGAACACGACCCATGACGGG